TTAGTTCAGTTATTGTCAGAGTTTGTGCCGATCAACCTGATTCATGTTGAATGGCAGTGGATGTGCAGATTCATCGCTTCTGATGTAACCAAGTGAAAATAAATCAAACTAAAGCATAGAGATTAAATGGAGTCTAGCAAGGAGTTAATTTATTTAAGCAAGAATTATTAGATGGACCATTTCACGTAAAATAAAGCTATGTTTCGGGAAAACCCAGTTTATGGGCTAAGCAATAGCCAAATTGACAAATAATTACTCATAAAACCAAGTAGATTATACAAAATTAAAGACATAAGCAAGGCAATTGATAGTGAATGATGCATAAATAATGACTTTTTGACAGTTATTCAGCGTAACTGCTTGGTGACTAAATAAAAATAATAAATGTGTATCTATATGCGTGCATAAGTTATTCATCAATTGGCTCTCCAAAGAGATGAAAAGCACTCTTTTAACTTTTTAATTCTCTATAAAGCCGAATAATCTACAGGGAAATGGATACTACTTTCTTGTTACTGGAAATGAGCCAAATTGCAATTCATTATATACAATTTGTTAACCTGGATCTTGACTAATTATGAAGTACTCCAGTTGTCCATTTATGCCAATATCTTCATCTGTCGCCAAAAGGCGAGCAAAACCTCTTCCAACTGGCAGATCTTCAGGCACATACATTCGCAGCCTCAATTGCCCTGCACCTCCACGACTCAACAATTGCTTCGATTGGAATGGCGAGATCACATTTGCTTCCATTTCGTCTTGCTTCTTCACCTTCACTGTTTGTTTCACGTCCCCTTCTGTGTCTTGCTCTGCGGGGTCGCCATTCTTCTGGACCGGCAATCTGGCATTTGGTTGGTGTGGCTGCTCTACTTGCGTCTCTTGGTTGCCGCTTGAAAGGAAGATACTTCTTTGTGATGTGCGAATAGTTTCTGGCAATGCCCACTCAGCAGGTGCAGACACAACAGAGCCGGTAGATGCTGAAAGAGCCGATTTTCCGAGTTGAGACTCGTTTTTGCCATCAACGAAAGGCAAGAAGATGACGGCTGTATGGAGCAGAGTGAATTGACGCAAACTGGGCGGATGGTCGTTGGCGTCGGCTACACGAACGAGGATGACGCGGTGGCTCGTGAGTGATGGGGAGCCGTGGTCGTTGCAGGAGAGACGCAAAAGGATGGCACTGATAGCCTCACGGTCCAGACTCTACACGGTTTAGGTGGGTTGGAGAAAAAACAGAAGAGATGAAACAAAATGTGAGGTCAGATGGAACAATTAGCGTTAAAGATATGAAGCAAAACTGGATTTCGAAGAATTACTTTTTGATATATTGTCACATGACTTTCCATTTCGAAGGAAAAGTTGATTGCAAGAAATTCGTGGATTGCTCTCATGTCAATTCGAAGAAGCATTTTCGCTCGGCTCAACGCTGCTAAGCTTTGGTCTGAACCGCCGTGACAAACATCATCAGAGCAAGAATCCATACTTTACGAAATAAAGTAAAAATTATACTAAACCGACTTTTCCTTCGAGATGCAAGTCCTGCTACAAACAACACCATCCACTGTTGAGTGGGCTTAATCTCATTTACTCAACTTGCTAGACGAATGCAACCTGTACTATGTTCTCCGCCCGAGAAGGGATACTAATTTACAGAGAAAATCACACAATCTTGGTCTTCCCGTCTATGCTTTATTACTGGCAACTGGAACCTATGCTCCGTTTGCAAATTTAAATAGAAGATTTTATTAACTTTCTCTCAATGGAAACTTTGAAACATTGCTTTTCACTTGAGCCCTCAGCATTTCGCTTAATCTGACGTACCATGCTTTGGCTGACAACTTCGAGATCAGTGGAGTGGACTTAAATCTGATCCCAGTCATTTCCTTACACTGACAACGTGAAGCATATACGACACTGTATGTGGTTTCATCTGTGCTATCTATTGTCTGTATGTGATGATCCTGAATTATTTGAGATGGTGGCGATCTCGATCAATCAAGCTGTTTCTTACCCAGTGCTTCTTTCTGCTCTCTCGCTTTAGTTCGAACCAAAAGCCGTAAGTAATTTCTGCCTAATTTCGTACGCTTATTCTTTTATGCTGGTTGCTGTGCTCATTTTATTTTCGAACCCAGATTTTGTCTGTATTTCCTTCAAAAGGTCAGGTGGTAGATCACACAATCTGGTGACATCTGGTGGCCACGGGTATTGCAACTTATAAACCTCATAAACCTTAGCAGGTGGCTTCTTGTCCAGATAACCTCTTATACCGAGGATGACAGGTTTCTCCCAAATAGATGTTATCACATGAGCATACAGTTTGCAGCAACCTGAGCTAAAGAGGTGATCTGCAGATGCTTTGTGCAAATGGTAGTACTTCTGTATACATTTTTCTGACGGCCTTTTCTGGTAGGAAGATTAAATGAGAAATCTAGAATAGTTATCCAACGTCCTACTCTGCAATGATCCTATTTCTAAATATTCCGACGTAGTGGACAAGTAAACCTACGAGATAATAATTCTCAATGATGAACTTTCGCAATCTTCAAATTGTTTTTCCCCTATTATCTAGGTCTGCTAGAAGTAGAATTCTAATTATTTTCAGTTTCATACTATCTACTTTAATCCCAAAAGGTATGTATTTAAAAGAAGTTATGGATTAAACCCACATCGTCGGATTTTCAAACCACATTCTTAACCAAATTAGTATCTTTGGTCATTCCCAAATTTCTATTCATTAACATAAGGAATTCCTCCGGACTCTTCTTGTCGTATGAGATGTGTTCACCCAATTTCGTGTAAGCAAACAGCAGATCAGCTGCCCACATGCCAAACTAAATCCCTTGAGAACAAGGAGTTTATCTTGACTCACGCAAACCTATACATTAACTATGCTATATCCAATATCAGGGTCTATAATATCACCAA